GCCGTGCACATCACCATTCTAGCCGTGCACTCCAAAACGCGGTGTACCATTAAGTCGAACCTCAGCCAACTCGCACGGCCAGGATTGCACCTTGCACGGCCGTGCGTGGCCACGCACAATCCCGTGCGTGCCCACGCACAATCCCGCACGGCCAAACTGGTCACTTGCACGGCCGTGCGTGGCCACGCACAATCCCGTGCGTGCCCACGCACAATCCCGCACGGCCAAACTGGTCACTTGCACGGCCGTGCGGGTTGTGGGTGTGCCCGTGCGACTTCCTCAGAACCTCGCCATGCGTCCGATCCTTGTCCAATCGACCTCAAACTCGCTCCCAAGCCTCCATTCACGTACTAGGACCTGAAATATCATAAACAAGCACAACCTAGCGTGAAATCGGCCTAAAACACGAGAATCAATACCTCAAACGGAGTAAGAGCAGGGGTAAAAACATGTGTAACTAACGGTCTATCAGACGTCCTCTTATGATACTTTGCTTTGAGGATCCTAGCAATTAGGGAGTCCGGTCTCTGCATCAAATTCCACAACTTTTTCGCTAGCATAGCCTTATTAAAACCTTCCAAATCCCTGAAACCCATTCCACCTTCCTCCTTGGGGATGACCAACTCTTCTCTTCGCAACCCATGGGCTCGTCTTTCCTCACCCTTCTGACCCCACCAGAAATTCATGATTAGGCTATGAACTTCATCAATCGTTCCATCAGGAACTTTAAAAACCGACATCGCGTAGGAGAATTGAGCCAACGCCACCGATTTGATCAAGACCTCCCTTGCTGCTACAGAGAGTGTGTGCTCTTTCCAACCGTTCAGCTTTTTCTTTGTTCTTTCTTTTATTTCCTCAAAGAGCTCTTTCTTAGACCTTCCCGCTTCTGTAGCCAGCCCCAAATATTTTTGGTGCTTTAAAACTCTTTTCATCCCCAGAAGTCCACCAATCTCCAACTGCCTGTGCGTTGAGACGTTAGCGCTAAAGGAAACATCGGACTTCTCGAAATTTATTTTCTGTCCCGATTCCATCTCATAGTCATTAAGAATTTTCTTTAGCACTTCACTCTCCTGTATCGTGGACCTGGCAAAAAAGATACTGTCGTCAGCAAAGAAAAGATGTGATACGGTCGGGGCTCCACGAGCCGGTTGAAAACCATGGAGCCATAATCATATAAGATAATAATATATGTTCTCTAATTATGTTAAGTTTCGATGAATCCATAATCATTATGTTATCTATTTAACTAAAGGATAGTTTACTATGTGGATTTATATCAACTGATAAACGCGATCTGATGCCAAAACGTTACGTTAAGGATTTAATCAAAATCATTTGTTTGCTAGATCAAGGTCATTTGCCTTTAGAGTTTTGGTGATGGAATTTTCCTTTTTATGGACTTTGTCAAAAAGTCCCATGTTTGTTTGATGGAGTTGGGGTGTAGCTTAATTTGGAAACATGTATTGCTTGCACCAATAAATAAAAATATATGAATGTATTCGTTATTTGCTACAGATAATAACTTATATTCGGTCAAGATATCAAAATCCTTCATTGAAGTTGCATGAAAAAGACAACAAAAAGACTTCATAATTATTTACAACAACACTAAAGATCGAGAATTTAAAAAATAATTTAATCATACGTTACCATATTTCTTTGTATTGCTTATACATCTATAGCCGATTAACAGTGAAAAAATTGTTCAGCACATATGATCGCACTTCTGTAAAAAAAAAAAACGTATGATTGCACAAACTATAAATGATGGGCTGTAGAAAAAGCTTTATTTTCACCAAAATAAATCAATTAATATAAATAATAAAAAGTATCGGATCCGACCAACAGGCCGGGAAGAAAGCGAGTATGTGTAGAGGGCTTTTTACTCGATCTCAAATGTAGGGATTTATTCGTGTGTTAGGGTTGGGAGGTCGAGTTAGTGCATATCGCGACTGGTTGGCGAATTCTCGTTGTTTTCTCTTCATTTTTTTGTACTTATTCACTTTTATCGTTGGGATGAATACAATGTGCATCCTTTTTCTTGATAATATGCGCATAATATGTGTTAGGGTTGGGACTTGGGAGGTCGAGTTAGTGCATATCGCGATTGGTTGGCGAATTCTCATTGTTTTCTCTTCATTTTTCTGTACTTATTCACTTTTATCGTTGGGATGAATACAATGTGCATCCTTTTTCTTGATAATATACGCATAATATTTCTATAATAAATCATGAAAATATCAAGATCGTGATTTTGATAATGACCGGCCCTCTCTAAACCATGCAGTTATAAATACACAAATACTATTTGCATCTCGTGTTCGATGTGAGACAAATCAATAAGCAGGCGAAGCAACACCGATAACAACTAAGAAAGAGAACCCAACTTTGACGGAAAATTCTTGGCTCCAACCAAGGTTGGATGCAGAAACCTCAACCAGCCACGTGTTAGTTTGTTATTGGTGGACTGACCTTCCTTTTTTCTTAATATCTAATGTCCCTAGTTATGCTAAATAAATCAATAATTATAATATAAAAAATAAAGATAAACTCAATAATAGGAATTTGACATGTGGCTTGGTTGTAGCTTCTGCGTCCAACCAAAGTTGGAGCTAAATTTTTCGTCAAAGTGGGGTTCTCTTTTTTGTTTGACAACTCGTGAGATGTTTGAATAACTTCCTCCATATCGCGCGAACCCAATCAATTAATATATGGAACTAAGAAACTACATCTCACTAATGCCAATCGACCCCCACTAATAATTATGATCGTGAAGAGACTAATTACCAAATAAAAAATTAGTTCGATCTATCTTTTAAATAAACAAAAGAAAACAAAAATGACTGAAGAAGCTACCATATTATTATATCGAACTTCAATATTTATACATCCCCTTAATTTTGATCATGGATCGTTGACGGTGTCGGCGGCGACGTCAACTTGCACGGCAAGAAGCACTTACAAGTGTCCCCATACTCATGACAACGTCCAACGAAATGATACTCATACCATCGTAACGTCCCGAATTTCCTTTGGCACGCGAAGGGGCACTCGCCAAACAAGCACGCTTCCCTGCCTCCATCGCCGGGCGCCAATACGCCTATCAAGCAGTAGGGCGGTGGGTGTCGAGGCAGGATTTTCCAGTACTTCTGGTCGCTCCCTACATCGCCGTGGACAGAGAGTGCCATCTGGAACAGGATGGCCATAAGAATCAGCGGCAAATTAGTGGTCCTCATGTTGCAATTTAGGGTTTAGAGTTCAGGATTTAGTACGTACTCGTGCGCCGAATATGAAAAAGTGATTTAAGAAATTGCAAATGAATTGCAATATATATAGTTGATCACTAGCTACAACTCCACGAATGAATATAGGTACATCTTAAAAAAAAAATCAAGAGATTGATCGGAGTTTATTGACTAAATCGTTGCAGAAGAATAGGGCGTATGGAGATTATAGAGAGGTGTTGTCTTTGAATTTGATGGGCTGCTGATATTGAATCTCATATTTGTTAAAAAGGAAGAGAGATTGCTGGATTTTATTTCGTAAAAGGTAAGGAGGTTGATTTTACACCGCCACTTTGTGGCAATTTTTACAGGAGAGACCCTTGCTTAACCACTAATTACTAATTAGGCTTCTTCTAACATAATTTATATTTATACCGATCAAGAAACAAAAATCAAAATAACCAATTAGAGTAGAAAACAAAGAAAATGTCTTCTGAGCCACCCAGTGGACTACTCTATTGTTATCACTGCCTACAATTTGGATCACATCCCCGACCACCCAGACAACAATTGGCGAACCTCCTAGAGAACAACCCCTTCCCGACTATTACGAACATTTGTACAGTTTTGACCTTGTAAATGACCCTTCGCACTCATACCACGCAACACGATGCCGATAGCTGAATGCGAATCCGTACATCTCCCATTTCCATTTTTTTATTTATCGATGGGAGGCGTTTAAACCGGGAACGGATCAGGTCAGTAACTTTATGGTCAGTAACCATGACTCCATGAGCAACCCGTCTACATCAGCATGACATCACTATCCGTCTCTTTTCTGGAAAGTCTTTTATCTTTACCCTTTAATCTTTAACGGACGATTTCTCTCTCGTTTTAAGTCGAAATTTAAATTTTTTTGCACAGATAAATCATATTAAATGTGCTCTTTAAAATGATATACACTTTGATATATTGTTAGTACAAAAAAATTTGAATAATTTTTTACCAGTCATTACCATATGGTTTGCTCATATTTAATGGTAAGAAAGCGTACCATGATTGTATGAACATACCAATATGGTAAGAAGGTTGAATACATGATAGTAGGAGTATACTAACTGTCATTTATGACTTTCATCATTGTTTACCACAAGTTACCACCCACATACCATAGTGATAAAGTATGGTAATTTTTGGTCCAGTATTTTGTTCACCCAAAAATTTGTAGATCCAATAGATCATGATGAACTCGTTCCTTCTGAGCAAACGTTTTCAAAAACGACTTAAAAACGAAGAAGTTACCATATGGTATGTAGTTGGTAAAAAAAAAAGTTTCTCAAAATATATTGAAAATTGATATCATTTTGTAGAGCACAACGAACTCGTTCCATGTGTGCAAAAAAAAAAAACTGAAATCCAAGTTAGAACGAAAAATATAAGAACCGATTATGAAAACTAGGGAAAATAAAATGCATTTAATTGACAACCATTATATCTGAATTTTTTGGATTCACTTAGATCTAAAGGTCCAGATTTGGTTACTGACCCTATCCTAAGCCGTTTTTAAGCCGAAAAAATAGTTACCACAATAGTCCCATTTCCATTTCTTTCCACGAATTTTGCACACTCATTTACAAAAGTGAGTGAGCTAACGAGCACTAAGGCCCATTTCGGAGCCCCTTTTAGGGCCTATAATGATTTATCTGGCCAGCCGGGCCCAAATTGGATGTAAGTGCAAAACTCTTAGCGTAGGATCCAAATCAGTGACCCTCCCTCCTGTTTTCTCTCCAGTCGCCATGGAGAAGATAGCTGTACGACTGTAACTCTCTAACTACCGCGACTTCTTCACAGCGAAGTGAACCAGTCATTCTCCCACGAATCAAACAAGACTCTCTCTGGTGGTAGGGTTTTAGAGTGGACTGCAAAACCCAAAACCTAATCTCCTGCTCCCTGTGTCTCTGCGATAATCGAGAGGTAACCCACCCCGCAAATCCCTTCTTCTACATTTCATCTCTGGCCTCCCCCGTCTGTTTTTCATTGGAGTTATAGGAAATCGCCGGCGGCGTGGGGCTTGTTTATCATTGGAGCTCTGGAAACTTTCCTGAATGGGTTTTTAGGCAACTTTAGCCGTCATGTTCGTCATAGTTAGGATGACTTGAATTCAGTTGGCGGATCATCGATGAAATTCATTTGCACTTGCATCCCGAAAAGAGTTCATATGCATTGCGGCAGTGGAAGTTCTTCCTGTAAAGCCTGGCATTTTGCAATTCATGGTTGCAAACCTCATCAAACTTCAAGAGTAGGTTTTTCAATTCGGAAATGGTGGAGTAGAGAGTGGGAAAAAAGTGGAGTTTCTGGCATCTAGTCACGGCCCTGGTGGAAGTCATGATATTTTCTCTTCTGGAAGTTGGTTTGTCTAGTCTAGTGTTGGCTTTCTAAATCTTTTTGTTAACATGTCCACCGAAGAAGCTATGGCTGTCTTGCAGTTCTATATGCCAAAGAAATTTCTGAATTCTGTACATCTTTATGTCTTCTTTGTATAGCTAGTTTGCCATGAGATTGCTCTGACTTAATTTAGTGCATTGTAGGTTTATGTACCCGTAGAGCTTTGACTTGGCATATAGTATCATGCATGCTATAAAGGGCAGTTGGGTTGGCCAGACGTTCGCCCTGTCCAAATCTAATGAGTCTGGAGGGAGGAAGTCTCGCATCCGCCGTTCAAAGGATGAAAGGAAGGGAATGGTAGAATTGTTTATAAAGAAGTACGTCCTGGTTCCTTATCAACGAGTTCTCTTGCTTTTTGTCTGTTGATGTCTTGAACTGAAGACCTAGTGGTAAATTGTGGATGAAATATACAGTTTCTGGCAGAGATCTGGAAGTCTCTATCCGACGTGTGACATCTTTCCAGTCCATTTTTTCTCTCTTAGTTGCAGACTTGGTACCTGATTGCGCCAATGACATGGTGGTTCTCCTTGTAGGTATCAGAGTTTAAACAATGGGAACTTTCCTTCTCTTAACCTCACCCACAAGGAAGTTGGTGGGTCATTCTATACTGTCCGTGAGATTGTTCGGGAAATCATCCAAGAAAATCGTGTGTTGGGTCCTGCTAAGTTTTTGCCTGAAGAGCAAGACTTTCATGAGTGGTCAGAGCAGTATCCCCTGGGCACAATATCCTCCAAACCTCGTTCTTCTCCAGCTTTGACACCTGATGAAACTACAGTACAATCTGATCAACGTCCTAGTTCACATGAAGAATTTTCTCTCAGTTCTCATGGGCTTGCTGAAACCCATGATGACAATGCTGAAACTGGACAAATCCTCAATGCAAGTTTTGTAGCTGTCGGGAACACAGAATCTGATAAGCAGGTGGTCAACGAGTTTCAAGAAACCCATAATGAAGTGGCTCCAATTGAAGACATATCTGTACCAACTGATGCTTCAATAGACAATAACGGTACCGAAACAATATCTTCTGGGGTCCAAGCAGCCGGATCACTAGGAAACAGGCCAGTTTCCAATGTAGTAGGGGATGCGATCCAGGACACTCTACCGTTGGAAGTTAAAGGATCGCATGAACAAATGAAAGCAGCTGTGCAAGTTCAAGCTATAGAAACAGAGAAAACTGCCAGTGTGTCCGATGCAGTGGTAGAAAGCCTTGCCTTAGAAGTAGAAGAATCCGACCGAGGGATGCCAGGAGAAGTTCAAATGATGGAAACAGAGAAAAGTGTTGAAGAAGTCGCTGATGCAGTCTTACTTAGCCCTTCCTTAGAAGTTGAAGAATTCAAGGAACAAACCAAGGCTGAACTCCAGGTGAAGGAACCAGGGAAAAGTACCAATGAAGTGGGATCATCTAGGGCAAAAATCTTTGAAATAGAAGATGTCGTGGTGGAAACATTTCCTTTACCCACTGTTTCAAGAATTGATGGCAATGGGAACTCTGTTGCCATAAATGGTTCGATTAGAACATCGAAAGAAAATAATGATGTGAAGGTGGACTTGGGGTCAAGACAAAATCGTTCCAGTTCACCGAGAATGGGCTCTTTAGAGCATTCTGTTGCTGGAGATGATAAAAATGACGATCAAAACAGTTCTTTGTTGGAAAGGAAATCCATTGCAGTAAACGAATTAGAGAGTAAAAGTTCAGTTGCTGCATCAGTGGTTGGATCTGATCTAAATACTGTCAAAAAAGGCATCATGCATGATAGTCAACTTGGTGTTGACGTGAAACCAAAGTTATCAAATGATCAGGTAAATTGCTCTTTGCTCTCTCTATACTTTCCCACTTTTGTCTTCTTCGATTTCATCTTCTCTATGCCAGTTTTCACCATTTACGTATCTCAAGTAAAACACCCTAGGGCAAGGCTGCTTTCTTTCTTATCAGAAGGCCTTTTGTGTTGGTTTATTTATTTCAATTCATTTTCACATAAATCTCGATTTCTTGTTCCCACTTCTCACTTGACTGATCTAATTGGACTGTATCTTCAAGCTTAAATTTAGAGGAGATCGAGCATTTAGTCAGAAGTCTAGTGACCATCTATCCTAAACATTAATGTCCAATGCGGTGCATTAAGGTGATGCTGGTATTTAGAATTAGAAACACAAACCAGCATGACACCCCTTTGCTCCGCCATCTGCAGTGCTTTTATATTGCAAGTGCCAATAGTTTTGGTATCGGTTAATAACGGACGTAGTTTTGCAGGCATCAAGTGTCATGAACCGAGGCAAAAACGCATCTCCAAATGCAACTTCTGCTAGTCCCGGTTCCCGCCAGGGGTCAGATATCCAGGCCAGCGTTTCAGGCAACAAAGCAAATGACGGGAGAAGCAAAAGTTCCCAAAAAAGAGGTGATCCAACACTAGACAGAATAAACATGTAAGTAAAGCATTTGAGGCTCAGAAACTCGGAACGGACTAGTGTAAGTTTGTTGTTCAGGGCACTCACTAACTGAGCTGTGTCTTTTTGGCTTGGGGTTGTTGCTTGTGGACAGCAGGTCATGGCAACGGTCGTCTAGGAGGATTCCTTCACAGGCGGAAACCAACCCGCTTTGGTCTGCTTTTCAAGCATTCGTCTCCGCCTTTGTTAAATTCTGGTCAGAATAGTAATGGTGTCCTCCTATGGCTGTGGTGTAGATGGTAGTTGGGTTTCGCCCCGTTTTAGTCTCCTGACTTCATTTTGGTTGAACGGTTTGGCTTTCTGGAGGTTGTTAATGGTAGAGAGAGTTGCCCTTTCTGGTTCTGCAACTTCTGCTGCTGGTTTGAAAGAGTGCGATTGTCTGTATGCTTGTCAAGTGATCTGGTCCACTGTTCTATCGATGATGATGGTGATGAACACTCTGGCTATTTTTCATTTCAGTTTTAGCCACCGGTTTTGGTCTTCTAGTTTTGTGAGTATTATCCTGTTGAGAAGAAACATGCATTTCCGAATGGATTTGCACAAGTTGGGCCGAAAAGAGAAAGGAAAACAGGCCCAAGCACTGGTGTAAGCCAAGCGACATGGTTTAACGTCTGGCCCATTAGATCAAAGCCCAAAATCGAGCCAGATGAGGTACCACAGGTTCAGGCCCAATTGTAATGTCCCATTGTACTGTAACTGAAAAGGTAACGTGAAAGATAAATCAGTTTAGAAAAGCGTGACGAGAACTCCGAAACTGACTTTGGGATTGATTGGATCTGATGTCTTGTTTTGGGTCCCATTATTTATTTATTATTATTATTATTATTATTATTATTATTATTATTACTATTATTATTATTAAGCAGCTTCCAGATAAAAAAAGCAGCTCTTAAAAGCGAAATAAATTAATAATAAGATACCCACAGCTCTGAGCTCAAAAGCTGAAACCCCCAACTCAGCAACAGAGCAGTGTAGTTGGCCAGAAAAAGTGTTCATGGAGTTTACCTTAAACACACTCAACCCCGTAATTACTTTACCATTAAAACTTCAACCCAAACAGATTCGTTAGTGGATCCCAATATTGTCATGATAATCAACTAATATCACATAATATTTCTTATTCTCTCGTTATAGAATAAATCAAACATCATGAACGCATTACCAATTTAACTAGCGATATGAAAATCATACTAATTTATAACCGTTAATTCTTTTTGCACAACTATACCAAAATTCACACCCAAACTTGGATTTATTAAGTAATGGAAACCTAAAAGGTAACTAACTCGCTCATTATTGTATTGTAAGGCATGCTTTACACCGTTTAACTCCTTTTTATAACTAACTTCTTTCCCGTCCTAATTAACCAAATAATAATTTCTCTAAAAATAACAATAAAATTCCAACAACCCTTCCCTCCATTTTGTTCTTTCTTTCTCTTTTCTAGCAGTCTCACTTGATTACCTTCCCATACACGCCTTCATAACCAATTTCTCACATAAATACCCAATTCTCCATTCCCACTCCTCTTCCCCTCTTCACATTCCTCGCGCTTCCTCCTCCGTTTACTTTTCTTTCCTCTCCACCCTTTCCCACCCCAAAAAAAAAAAAAACGCAATGTCCGCCGATCTCGATTCCCGGCCCAGCCTGCCCAAAATTCGAGTCGGAATCAGCCTCCGGGACGCTCCCCGGCCCTGCACCAGCGGCGGCGGCGAAGACGAAATTGGCTGCGCGGTAGCTCTGAACGATAATTCGGATCGGAATCCGGCGGAGAAGGAGATCGAAAATTCCAGCGAGGAGGAGGAGTGCCGGACACCGAAATCGGCGGAATTCAAGATCCCGGCTGTCCTGAGCTGCCCGCCGGCGCCGAGGAAGCCGAGGAGGAAGGCGATCCCCTGCAAGCGGAAGCTGGAGCCGGAATTCGAATTCTTCGACGCGGTCAACCGGGAGGAAGTGGAATCGTTCTTCCGATCCGGTTTCCAGCTCGCCAAGCGGATCCGCTGCCCCGATCTCGTTTCCTTGTAATTTGTAAAAAATCCCAATCCAAAGTAAGTAAGAAGAAGAGCAGAGTATAGATCGCCGGGCCGAAAAGAACGGTGCCGTATCGAGGAATTCTCCCCCCTTTCCACTCTCTTTACACGAATTTCCTCCCCTTCCTTCTTTTCAGCTCCAGAATTACACCGTTACTATACCTTTTTTTCCCCTAATTATTTAATTGTTCTTCTTGTTGCCTGTATATGTTATAGTATCATATATATATATTGTATTAAATATTACACTCCTCAAAGCAAGCAAGGATCGAATCAATGCAACAGTGTACTCCCCCGGCGGCGAATCTCCGGCCGTATTGTTTTTAACTGTTTCGTTTATGCTATTATTACTGTTATTATTAGCATCATTATTATTTTTCAATTTCTGAATCGCGAAAAAATCGAGTGCAATGATTTTCTTATCGATTGCGTGCAAGCAAGCACCGGTTCCCCGTTCCGTTCCGTAAAGACTAGGAGCCAAGAGATAACAGGTGGACAAGATAGATGCGGTTTCTGATTAGTCAAATTGGGATCAACCTTTTTCTTTATTTTGGTATTACGTGAGCTTGTGAGATTGAATTCGATTGGCTCACCGAATTTTGTTAATAAGCTCGGAAGAGAAGAGGGGGATATGGTGTAGTAGATGAGAGGTTGGTGGTGGTGGGTGGATGGATGGGGGTAAAATTACTGTAATTAAGGTGGGTGAACATGTCGAATGATATTGTTCCGAAATTGGACAAATTGGATATAGAGTAATTATGGATCGGATTGACGTTCGATTTTTCAATCGGATAGAGAAACCATGTATTAGTGAACGTGTCGAATCAGAATCGTACGGTGGTGGTGAAATGTAATTGATTATCTTGCTCCTTGTAATAGTTTTGTTTTTTTAGGTGGTTAATTAATGGAGTCAGATTTGGGGTTTGATCTTATTCCCCTGTTTTTTCTGAGTTAGACAGCAGCATGAGATGTTTGAGTGATTGACAAGGCTTTGGGATTGATAAACTTTCATTTTCATTTTTCCAACTCATTTTTTGTATTTAATTTTTTTTCCTTTCATGTATTTCATATATTTTTTTTCCCAGAATGTTAGAATGAGATAGAGAGGAGAGGACTTTGTTGTACATATCAATGAGCCCCAAAAATTAGGTAATGTGCATGGTATGTCATGTTCTGCTACAATTTAATGTGATGTTTCTTTTGTCTCTTTCCCCCCTCTAAATGAATTTCATACAAATACTTAAGTATATATATATTCCTACTTTTTTTTGTCCTTTCCTCCGGTTAAATGTAATATTTCTACTCAAATATTACTCAATCGGATGAGTCGTGATCTAGCATCATTTGTATAAAATACATCAACCAGAGCAAGGTGGATGATGAGCTAAGAACAATAGCGCGGATACTTGCTCCAACCGTATTGTACAAAAGTCAAATCAAAATCTCACATGAAAAAAATCAACAAATGCGTATAATTACACACAAAAAGACCGACAATTTCCGGTAATTTAAATCCTTCAAGTCTGTTGATGATATGTATAGAAGCATTGGAGGGGGGAATCTTGGGGTAATATATTTTTAAAATTTCTAAATAGAAACTAGGAGAAACTTTTTTTTTTGAATAATTAGGAAGGCAAGATGGAAACAGACCCAGAAGTTAATGGCGACAATGAATCCCATGTGCCAATTATGTCATCCGAAATCCCATTATTATTGTGGACGCAGCAGCAGCGGCACCGATCATCATCATCATCATCAATTCATTTCGCCTTCAAGACTGCAACTCCACCAAATTATCAGAACTATATAATAATGATAATAATAATAGTAATAATAATAATAATAATAATAATAATATATTGCTTAATCCACAACCCGTTTGTGTGGAAGGGCCATGCAAACCGTAGCTTTGAAGCATAAAATATTTGGTGGAATGGACCACCCTTATTACCGATCACAAATCAGACTCGAAAATATTTGTTTGCATGTTACCAAAAGCAAGTGGGAAGAAGGAAAAAAAAACATTGCCTGACCACAAAGCACCACAGCAGAATCTGTAGTGTTTTTCCCCCCTTATACTTCTTCATTGATTTTGTTTTATCCTAAAACAGTACCGGCCAAATTCATGCCATGTACAGTAAAAATTGGGATTTGCAGGGAGAAAGTCCAACCATTTGCAACAACGCATTTTTTCTTATTATCGCATTTTTTCTTATTATCGTAAATCAGCTGGTTTTAATAATTCGGGTTGTTGGGAGAAGATTATTATGAATCTTATATTACTTTCTCATAATTAGATTGACAAGGTGTCTTAGTACCTCCAGGGGCGGAGGGAGAAGGTTAGAGGTCCCCCTGGTTCGGGAAATAAAATGATATATTAGGTATGATAGTTAATCAGGTATGAAAAATAACACGTATTTAATGAGAATGGTTGACCTTTGAAATATTTATGCATGATTTTATACGTTGTGTATTGACATTGTCATAACACCGGGGGTGCTCAATTAGTACGATATTGACCGCTTTGGGCCAAGCCCGCACGGTTTTATTCTTGGGTGTCCTCTCCAAAAGGCCTCTTACAAATTGGGCTAGGTGGACACTTATATACAAGTGTTTTTTCTCTTGTATTACCGATGTGGTACTTGGATTGTCCCATAACAGACATATTCAATGTTTTATAACGAGCTACGTACAAATCATAATGGTGCATATGATCCGTCCAAAATTAAAGATGTACTTATTCAATATCTACAAAAAATTACCACCAAATCATAACTAGTTTGTAAACATAATTTTATATCAATCAGGGATGGAGAGAGTGTAGCGGGTGGCTCCAAAGGACGAAAAATGAATACAGTAATATAATAGTTAATTAAGAATGAAATTTAGGACACTTCTAATTGAGAATAGTTGACTGAGAGATCAAATGTTCTGAATCTTGGCGACCCAATTTGTTAAGCACATAGTCATAGTATTCGAATTTGAAAAAAAAAAAGGCACGTATAAGTTGGTTTTGGTTAGCAGGGAAGTGTCTTGATAGCTTTGACATATATTTAGTTTACAATGTTTTGATAATTACAAAAAAAAATTATATCATGTATGGTTTAAAACGCTAACAAAACTATTTTATCATAAGTATTTTTTTTTTTTCTTTCTAAATGGACCCACCCTCAACAAAATCTTCGCTACGCCAATCTGTAGAGTCAGTTCGCGTAAATATTCGGAGAACCATTGAAAGTCTCTAGCTTGCTGGACACAGTGAATGTCGATCAAAGGTGGCCTCGTAGTTGGTTGGACTAGAGAGAGTGACGAAAATATATAGCAGCGATAATCCATCCATCGATCTACATCCTTTAGGAAGAAACAAACTATATAAATATAATTTCCAGCTCATATTAATATTTAAGTGATCAGATTTGAACGAATTAGGTATGTTTTTTTTTTATCAGATAATCATATTTATGTAAACTATGTTTCTGATAACGTGACAAAATAATAGAAGATATTGTGATGTGGGCACCCACATGAATTGTCCAGAAAAGCTAAACAACCAGAACTAGATCAAGATCTCATGAACTGAAAATATATATGGTTAATTACGGAAACAGTCATTGAACTTTCTGACAAATTGCAGTTGAGACACTAAGGCCATTTGGTTTAGCAAAATTACCAGTCACGGCTAATTAAGTGGCTTCAATTGGGTTTCATGCAGTGCATGTGAATGGTTTTTAGGTGCCTAACATTGGTTGGACATGTTGCACTAGAAGTCAATGTAAGATATGGACCTAACTTTGATGATCCCCCCTCTATATAGATACTAATAAGTATGGTTTCAATAAATAAAAATTTTGTTGGTTATTGGATCCAAGTCGTGAATTCAGAATGTGATGACGCGGTTTCAAGAATTTTTAATCGTTGAAAACCAATTCCTAAATTTGAAGTTGGTGCACGCAATATTATTATACAATGCGTTCAAATCCAACTACTAATCTATCACGAGTCTCCCAATATCTCGATGCTTCGTCTTAGTTCGCAAGCCGGCCACTCAGCTACATTTCGTGTTAAGCACAACCATTCGTCATAATATTTTTGTTCGAAGAAAGAAAGAGCGGTCTCTAACTAACTAACTAACTAACAAGTCTATCATAGGATCCTCTCCTCGCCCCACCGGATCCAAAGTAGTTGTTGTGGTTCATGCTAAAGGCTAAAGGGCTTAAAGCTAGCTGTCCCAAACAACGTGGTAGTTGCTAAACTTTACCAGCTCCCTTCCTACCCTAACTTTAACTCTCTCTCTAGCCGTGTATGTGAATATGAACTAGGGATGACAATGAGTCGGGTTGGGTCGGGTTTTGCCAAACCCATGGGTTTATCCGTGAAAAAAATCCGGGGTAAAATCCATCCAACCCAACCCGCTGGGTATTCGTGGGTTCATGGGTACCCACGGGTTTTTATCGTAAAAAATTTACAATAACAAGTTCCTATCAAAATTAAAGTCAAATATCAATCTCTCAATACAAATTATCCATATATAAAACACCATTATAGAAAATTCAAGCAAATCACAAATTAACTATACAAATTTGTTCAACACCAATCTAGAAAACTCAAGAAAATTGAAGCAAATCACAAATTATCCATAAATAACATGATTAATTGAAAGCTTATTCCTTTCAATTAAGTTTCTTCACTCCCCACTTGATAACATCAACTTCATTCAACACAATTTGAAAGAAAAAAATTAGACATGTCTCCACAAACATATAGAAGATTAGTTTGTTTAGAATATTAAATATACCCAGAAAATTAACTATATGGGTGTGGGCGGTAGGGATGGCAATGGGTCGGGTTTTGCCAAACCCAAATCTATGGGTTTATCCGTGAAAAAAATCCGGGGTAAAACCCACTGGGTTTGAAAAACTTAAACCCAACCCAACCCGGTGGGTATCCGCGGGTTCATGGGTACCCACGGGTTTTTGTCGTAAAAAATTTACAATAACAAGTTCCTATCAAAATTAAAGTCTAATATCAATCTCTCAATACAAATCATCCATATATAAAACATCATTCTAGAAAATTCAAGCAAATCACAAATTAACTATACAAATTGTTCAACACCAATCTAGAAAACTCAAGAAAAATGAAGAATGAATAACATAACATGATTAATTGAAAGCTTCTTCCTTTCAATTAACTTTCTTCACTCTCCACTCGATAGCATCAACTTCATTCCACACAATTAGAAAGAAAAAATTAGACATATCTCCACAAACATAAATAAGATTAGTTGTTTAAAATATTAAATATACCGAGAAAATTAATTATATGTGTGTGGGCGGGTACCCATGGGCCGGGTTTATCTAAACTCAAACCCAACCCGATGAATAGTGAACGGGTTAAAACCCAAACCCGGCCCAAAACCCATCAACACGGATTTTACCCGCGTTGACCGGGTTGGGTCGGATGGATACCAGTGGGTTCGGGTTTTGTTGCCATCCCTAGTGGACGGGTACCCATGGATCGGGTTTACCTCAACCCAAACCCAACCCGATGAATAGTGAACAGGTTTATACCCAAACCCGACCCAAAACCTGTCAACACGGATTTTACCCGCGCGTTGACCGAGTTGGGTCGGGTTGGTACCTGTAAATTCGGGTTTTGTTGCCATCCCTAATCTGAACGTATGCTGGCTGTGTAGTGTTCCTTCCTTGTCGAAAACGACTTGCATAAATTCGGCCTTTACAACAATGGCATGTTACCGAAAGAGATATGATGATGATGATGATGGGGATGAGATAATGGACCAAGACGACATCATGGACAGCGTAAAGTGAAAGAAAGCTCTCCTATAGCTACCCAACTGATGCAACAAAGAATCAGTTACAACAATGGAGGAGTAGAGAAGACGAAAAGAAAGCAATGAAGATCTGGGAAAAGTGGGATGGGAAAAAGAAACCCGAAGAACATAGCAAAAAGAGAGAGAGAGAGGCTGAGGATTTTATTTTGTCAAGTGTAAGACAAGTTGCTCTTTTGGGGAAAGTCTGCGCTCTTACAAATGGGTTTGTTTTGTGCATAGCTAGTGGCCGGCCATCATCATCAAAGTGTTGTTCCCATGAGCATAATGGCAAAAAGTAACCAACATATATTGCCTATTGCTCAAATCCAACTTATTACTACTACGTACTAGTTAAATTAGTTTTGGATAATTTTACTTTTAGAGTAGATCCATACATATATATATGGTGACTATTTCGGTATACTCGTTTTTTTTTTAGGTGCATTGAACTTTAAAAGTAAGTCATAGACATCAAATTTTGAATTTTAAACGATAGCATTAGTATAATATGATGATATAACACAGAATCTCAACTAATCAATCCGTTACCTTAACCCCTAAACCTTCAATTTTGAACACCAGCACGAAATCCCAAAATGTGAGCCCTAACCCTAAATCCTAAATTCTTCAAATCAAAGTAAATACTTAATGATTTTTTTTTTGTAAATTCACGGGGTTTCATGTCTATCATATCACAAGTAATGATTAACATCGTTTTGATATGAATCGGCTATTCAAAATGACGATTATGAGGCGGGTGCACTGAATGCAGCCGAAAAAAGTGAGTGCACTAAAAACACCACCATATATATATATCCAAGTTTTTCGTTTGGATCTACACTGGACTCATAGTATTGGATACCCAAAAGAAAATGGATACTCAATTCTAGTGCAGTGAGATTAGAGGTGTAGTTATATTGAAGGCAATTGAAGAAAATGGATACTCAAGGCTAGCTTGTGCGGCTGGCCTGCCTTTAGTACTTTTGTTGATTGGGTTCTTTTTTAATAAGGACTGGAGATTGGGTTCGTTTGCTTGGTCTTTGTTATCTATGTCTGTGCCTGCTGCAGGCAGCATTGAAAAGGAGAAGGAGCCACCGACGGCACAGAAATGGAATGGGAATTTGTTGGGATTTGAAGCCAATTAATTCTTGTGTTTCACAATGATTTGAGTATTGGATCTAGGTAGATCCCGACTGCTGCTGTCCCTAACTAATTGTCATTCGATAATTAATTTTTGTTATCCGGTTGTCTGATTGAAAATTTTATATTTTCTATTTGTATAACGTACAATGTAATGTGATGTAAGAGCAACAATGTCAAGTTTTTCTTTTATATTTTTTCGCTTGGTATAACCAGACCTCTTCAAGATCGACTAACATGATGGATCGTAGCAAACGAGCATTTGTCGTTTGAAGTTCAATGTCGAATACATTGTGAAATAACGCTCTTGAATAGGAATGGCAATGTAACAGGTTCGGGATGGATATCTCAATACGCCATGTCCGCCTCATAGCATATCAGGTTCAAATCAAATACTTTATCACTTAGTGCGGGTCGAGACCCTCAACGGAGAAGGATATCAGGCCAGAAGTAGCTGGGCCTTGTAGGCTTAATAAATAAGCCCAAAAATAAGCGTTGTATGTACTCTGATCCAGCCACGCCCAAACATAAGCACTTAGGAGGTGAAATTTTTTTTTTTTTTTTTTTTTTGCCATTAGATTCCTCTTAAAAAGAGGTCGAACACAGGTCACAGATACAAAGAACCTATCTACTACGTAACCAAGCAACAAAGTCGAACTTAGGAGGTGAAATTGTCCCGTACGTAAACAATGGTGTCAGTGGCCCAGCCCAATTTGTTAGAGCTGTAAAGGGGATCGGCCCACGTTAAACATTTCCAAGTCCTCCCAAGTTTCTCATCTGAAAATAGACCAGACCATTAGAAGGATTGCAGACGAAACAATACCGCACAATTTTATCCGCATTGTAGAACATCAATTTGGTCTAGTCCGCAGTATGTGCTGTTAGATGTTTTAGATCTTGTCCGGACAGCGACTTATCGAACCAGAACTTAGATCCAACTTACTTCCACTTAGATTATAACCAGAGCAATTCTTTTATTTACGCATGAATGAAGAAATGAGGTCCAATTAGTGTTTAAACATATCACCTTCCCAATTATACAACGAAAAAGAAGAGCAATCCCCACCTACAAAAAACAGCAGCATGAACAACTGCCCAGCAAAAAAGGAGGGAAAACTCTCTTAACAAAATGAACAAAAGAGACACAGAGGGGGAGGAAGCCTGTGGTGGATGAGAAAGCCTTCCTATTTCTTCAAAGGAAAGTCTGCCTGACACTGGCTCCATAAACATCTATACTGCTGCTATACATCTTCACTATGCCAAGAACTCTAAAGTTCTTCGGTTTGCTTTTACCTTCAATTTTATTTCTATACATAAGAATATTTATAGTATGGAGTATGCTCTGATAACTTCGACGATCGGTGCTCGACACAGTGGACACTTACCACCGCCTCGAACCAGTTCGTTCGCACACTTCGAGCACGTACACATGTGCCCGCATCTGCAAATACCACCACCATCAAGTTGGAAGAGAGGTTTAGAACTACGAACAAGTTCTTGGAAACGATCAGAAGGTTATATCATGTTCAGATCTCAAAGCAGAAGTTACCTGTACAACAAGGAATCAATGTGGCTATCACAACACACGCAGCATGTCCCTTTCTTCACATGACCCCATTTAGACCCATCCTGGGATGTTTCTGCAGCCATTCCTGGGGACAAGGACAGGTTTGAACCAAAACAAATCTAAGAGTCAAACAAAAGCATACCCTACAGCGAGACGATTTTGATTGGTAGTTAAAATGGTTTTTTTTTTACTGAAAATTAAAGATGAACCTTTTTCGCCAGATGATCGATTCAGGGCGGCAGAAACTTCCTGTCTAACAGAGCGCTGCAACTCGAGCTGCATATCCATGCAAGCCTCCAGCATTCTCTGCATGTTGCTCATTCCTTGATGAAGCCTCGACATATCTGTTCTCAAATCATTGATCATTTCCCATTCCTGTTGAAACACCAACATTATGAAATCAGACAGGGAACCTAGCTTCACTGACAGAATCAATCTAAACTAGTTGATTCAATAGTGCAGGTTAGATGACTCACAAGTTCAGAGCGATGCATGCTATGACGAGACCAGCCAGTTTGATGTAAATCCTGGTGCCAAAGAGGCTGGGGTGGTGGAACTGGTGGAGGCGGAAGTACCACTGACGGTCTGTTTATCGCCTCACTCTGATCCTCATCCCTCTGCTGCTCTTCATCCTGCTCAGGTGAAGCAGGAGTTGGTACTGGCAAGTTTCGATGAACATCCCAGTCAATGGGAGCACGACCTCGTCTTTCCACGTATGATTGTATCAATTGATCCAGACTTTCACGGAACCCACTCCGAAGCAGATTAGATACACTTCGCCTGTCAAACAAAAAGATACCTCAGTTTCTTAACAAGTCAATGCAGCTAGGGGTGAGGATGGTCCAGCCAGTCTAGAATCGAAAATAAATGAAAAAGCAAAGACCAGGGTCAGATCAGAAGCGCACTCAATCCAATCCAGTCCGTTTTGTATCAGAACAAAACAAAAAATATCTTCACTTTGAGAACAGAACCAATGGAAATTTTATTAGTTAAGATCCAACCCAAACCAAATATCAATTCAGTTTGATTCGGCCTGGTTTCGGTCCACAATAACAGCCTTCTGGGAGTGATCATTTACCTGCTCAATAACTCCCTAAGCTCCATACTATAAACATTTTCATCGTCTGGAGGGTGAAATCTATTCAACCTTCTCAATGGAACAGAACGGCGAGCTCTTGGTGGATCAGAAGGCCCTTCTATCCACGTTTCTACCGCCTCGCGAGAGCCATCTTCATGCCAAGCTCCCTGGGCTTCCTGTGGACGACCTGGTTCGTTATGTACATTACCAGGTGTTTCTTGGGGCCAATTTTCAACACTATTCTGCTGCCAATTATGATCCACAGGTTCAGCATTGTCATCTCTCCATTCATTGAAAGGACCATAATCTGGCTGTTGCCAGTTTCCTCCCACATTATCTGTAATTTCCTCATGCCAACCCCTAGCTTGGTTAGCAGTTTCCTGCCAATTCATATTATCAGTGCCTGCATTACTTTCTGAGGCATCGGTCGGTTCAGGTAATGGACCGGCATCATTTTCTTGAGTCCTAGGTTCAGATTGAACATTATCCTGATGCTGAACATCCTGTGAAGTATCTGTTTCAGTCTGATCATTTGCAGGATCGTTGTTACTATCACTAGGATCATCAGATTGGCCGTTTACTTGACCACGGACAATATTTTCCAATCTTGAACGAAATCCTTCCCTAAAACAAGAGCAAAGAATTTTACGATGGTCAATTAAAAATGAAGAAATTCTGCTATGGAAAAATGAAAACAAAGCATTGCAATTCATAATGTTGAGTTTCAGTCTACCAGTACCACACAGACTTCAAAGAGATGCCAGTGAGAATGAACTGAAAGATCTAATGCATAATGAAGATGCTTACACATATTAATTCTTACTCTATGTTCGTGTATTGATTGTCCACTGCCTCTTTGGAATGAACTTTCGGAGTATCACTTATATAACACACGCATTTGGTAACTACCTATGAGGTATCTATAAATAACTGTCAGATAATGATCTGCTTGCAAGCTAGGGGTTGGGTAGGGTAACAGCTCCAACAAAGGTCTGGCCATAATAACATGCTTGCATTGTTGTTTCTATCCTCCCCTATCAATCATTGACACTACTCTCAAAGCTAATAGCATGAATTTAGGATGGGGACCAACTCTCCCTAAGATAAAAGTTCACCCGTATTTCCCCCACTAATAATATGGTACCATCACCAAATCTAAACGTGGGAGTTGATATTGACGGTGGAGGAATTTTACAATGCTATACAGCATTGGTGCTATAGGTTTTTGCCTTTATGGTACAACTTGAAATTGTACATTTAACGTCACGGTACAACTTCAGATTGTACCTATACTTTTTGTACAAATTCTTTTATGGTACAACTTAAACTTGTACCTTATGTGATGGTACAACTTCAAGTTGTAAAGTTGTACCATAACATAATGATACAAATTCCTTTATGGTACAACCTAAACTTATACATTTAATGTTATGGTACAACTTCAAGTTGTACATTAAAGCACCAATGCTATATAGCATAGTAGAAGTGCTCATTGATGGTGGTATAAGAAAATAAGATCAGGATACGAACAAACTGAAACAAGTCCTCTAAACGTTTATAGCATGAATCCAGTAATGAATACCTTATACCAGAAACAGTGTGCCGCTGTCTTAATTGAACTAATTCACTTGAAGCCACTGAAGGTGGTCTTTCGTCTTCAACAGTTGATTCAGTACGGAGGAATCTACCCCTCAACAATGACTGAAATCACAGAATAATGATAAAACATAATCATACATATTTCCAAAGAAACTGGAAACAAAATAGAAAGCTACTTGGCTGAAAATTTAAAATTATCTAGAACAATCAGAACTTCAAAAATGGCACTTTTTCCTTCACCCATTTCACTATGAAAACAGTAATGGGGAATATTTCGAATACAGACTTACTGTGAAGGAGAAAGAACAGTATATCAGTAAACTTGCAATCAAAACCATACTTGCCCAACGCAGCACACTTGACCGAAGTGATTAACCATATAGCAACCATTACCAACAACAGCCTCATCCAACAATATAAACTTAACTGAATGGCATCAGATGTTAGGCCAGATAAAGAAAGACATGAAACAAAAGGAAGCCTGACTGACCGAGAGAATGTTACTAGCAAGACAATAAATGAAACACCTAGATAGAGATATGCAAGTTCACAAAGAGTTTCAGTGCATACTATTTATAGCTGATGCATAACAATGATATAATACAAGATGCTGGGGGAGAAGGATGGGTGGAAACTAACCTGAATGCGATTCCGGTGAGCAAATTCAGAAACAGCTCGATGTTCCAACAATCCCTGAAGCTCCCGCTGCCTTTCCCTCTCAATCCTCATAAGCAAATCAATAACAGCTTGTCTGCCACGCAGCCTAAGTACATCCCGGCGAATATGTTCTGGTTGCCCTTCATCAACTGACCTTTCCCGACCTCGGGTAGTAACTTGAGCATCAGCACGTCCACCAGTTTGGTCAACCCTTCGTGCCCCTCGAGACCCTCTTTGCTGCTGACTTGTCATCTGCACCCACTCCCTCACTATTCTCACCCTTTCACGTTCCGTTTCACCAAGCCATTCTCCTCTAGTACTGCCACCATTTCGTTGGGATAGATTCGATGTACGATCACTCATACCGCTGTCCATCCATCCACGAACAATCTGCCTCACCCTCTCCCTCTCAACTTCTCCAAGATCAACAGACTGCTCCCGACTCGAGCGAGCATTATTATCTTCTCCACGTTCAGTACGGGAAACCAGTTGCTCAGGCGACCAGGGTCCAAACTCAGTATCACTCTCCCCCACACTTCCCTGATTCTGACTTTCTCCTCGAGCCTCAGACATGTTGGTAGTGGAAGCATCATTTGTGGTAGTAGAAGCCACACTCCTCCGCTGCCTCAACCTTTCACGGGCCCTGCTCAACACATGCTCATCCTCCAACTCCCTCCACATTTGCAAAATTGCTGATGCTCGAGTACTCGGCCTTTCAGCTGTCCCTCCCTGCCTTCTAGAAGTGGACGGTGGGGGTGATTGTGGCTCCCTTAAAAACGAGGAATCAAGCATTGACACTGTGTGGAGACCTGCAAGCGCCATTAACTCCGACTCGCGATTCCTCCTCTCGATTGTGGTAATCATCATCTCTTGTGCCTGCCGAGCAGCCCACCTGCTGAGAATGCGAGAATGGCGCCTCCTAGCAGCTGAAGACTCGGCCAGATCATCGCCTTCAAGATCCGACCTTCGTCTCCTACGAACAAGCTGATCCCCCTCGTTGTCATCCTCATCGTCTGGAGTACGAGCAGAGCTACAAGATGCAAATGACATACAATCATCTAAGGGCCCTCGCATCAAGTCCTCCCATCCCCTTTCAAATTCCACACGAGGATCATTTGTGGTAGTGGACTCAGGTTTTTGCTGTACCGGTTGAAAGTCTGTCATCCTCACAGTTCCCACAAAACCAACCAAGAATTCCTTGCCTTTTCTTTCAAATCCACAACCCTTGTTCAATCCACGGCCCCCGCACCCAATTCTCACTCATTGCAATCGCATAACCAGACATCCTCAACCTAAGGCCTATGAAACCAAAGCAAGAAACGAAAGTGGAATGGACAGAGCTGAAAAGGAAAAACAAAAATCAACCTCCCAGCGTCCAATATTCAGGATGAAGCTCAAAAAAGGGAACAGCAAACAAAAACAAAAACAAAAAAGGAAAATAATCTAATCCCTAATCGAATTCTGATGGAAATAGCTCCAATTCACCTCGACCTGAACAGCATTCCACACAAGTACGAATTTCAAATCAATCTCTGAGAGGACGAACGGCGGGAAGAGAAAGGGAACATTTTTAAACAATACCCATAATTCAGATACAGAACCCAGAATAAAATAAAAAAAAAAAATTGGAATCACTGGAACTCTGGAACCAGAATGGAAAAGAAGAAATGAAATATGATGGATTTGAACAAAAGAACGTACCTTGGAAGCTGCGGAGAATTCTTTCAGGAGGAATAAAAGTAAATGCGGGTTCCTGGTTATTGTCAAAGTGATGGGACGAGGAGAGGAAACCCTAACTTTCAGTATGGAGAAAGGAAAACTAATGGAAAAGGAAGGAAAATGTTGCAGAAGGGAAATTTGTTGAAGAAGGAGGAGAAGAAGAAGAAGAAGAAACAGATACAGGATATGGATAATGAAATCAGAAATTAATTATAATCCTAATTTAGAACAAGAGAGAATTTACGAGCGGAAAAGAAAGAGCCAATCAGCCTCTGCCTCTCTCAGTCAGTCAGAAATTAGAGAGGGAAAGAAACAAAAGTACGGAGGGAAAGAGAGAGAGAGAGAGATCATCGTTCCTTTTCTCACCTAAACTTTCTACGAAGCGCAAATCGGTCCTCTATATTAATATCTATTACCATTTCAGTTCAAAAACTTCTCGAATGTATTTTTAATGCGTGAATCAACATCAAATGAAGTGGACCTTCAGGCCTGGGAAAATCCAATTCTACCAAGTTAAGTAATTTCATTGGTTTTTACTTGGGAAGACAGAGAAGAGAAAATGCATTGTTTGTAACAGATGGACATTACAGGCTTCTGCAACACTTCTTAATTTCAGATGCGATTCACTGTCGAGACCCAGAGGAGACGGTCAGTCGATCTCCATTGTAGGAGTGTTAGCAAATGAGCGAACAGCGCCATTAACCAGGATAGATTCATAGCTTGCTAATAAGAGCATCTGCAGAAGGTTTCATAGATCGCAAAATTCGAGCCATAGGTGGAATGAAAACCTGCATATGTTTCTGCCAACAAACAGAGCAGGCAGTGACCACCAGCCAGATAAAGGGCAGCCCCATTTTCCAACTGTGTGAGGAGAATTCTTATCCAGTCTTAGAAAGAAGAATGTAATAGACAAGTAACTAACATCGTCATAATTTACAGTGTCACATAAATTCACTACTTCCGATCTGGAGAAATGACAGATAAGAAGGACAAAGTTCTGCAGCTAATACTGTCTCTACTCTGCATAATAATGGTGTGGCACGAACTCGAAACTATCGAATGATTTCCACCTCCAGAAAAGCTCCAAGTTCTCATATCTCACCCGTTCCAAGTGCCTGTCTTGAGGTATCACCGGAGGCCCATGCTTGATAGTCCTTCACAAGCTGTGCATCATTCAAAGGAATCAAACAATCCGCCTGTACTACTAGAAACCGCCGTCAGATTTACAACTGGGGAAATATGCGTGGCCGGAACTCAACCAACCTGCTGCATAAAGCGGGGAAGCATGATGCCCAGTATCTGTTGCAGGACCCCTGTCCCGGCTGATTCAATTGCTCCGGCTGGAAGTAGTCTAAAAGCAAAAGGGACTTCAATGCTCACCTGCAATTTTAAGAGGAAGATGAATATTGTGATTTTAAGGTCAAGGCTTAGGAATATTTGGCTTCCTCCATGACACAAGAAAAGGATGCATGAAAAAGGCACCTAATTTTGGAAGATGTACCTCAATGACAGCATCAGAAGTAAGTTGCTGTACCAATGAATTGCTTTGGTTGGTATCGCATGAGATCCGATTCACCATAGAAGCTGCATTCCCATTACCAAATCAATATCAAAGCAGAGTCCTGAAAGAAATCATATGTACAAACTTAATGGCATCATGATTCATGCTTGTCCTGAGATTTAAAAAGAAAAACAATCTCTGAACATTATTGACATTTGTGCCTGTCATACCACACACATCTCCAGCATATACATGATATTATTTTCAAAATGTTTCGACAGCGTGCAGCAAACAACTCTAGTGGGTCGGATGAAAACTGCCCACGTTAACCCTAAACTTATTCAAATGCATCAATCAACTGTTACCAATGCGAAGGAATGCCATAGAGAAAAATGGTAAAGAACATGTTGAGACAGGGAAACCATACCATCAAATTTGTCATTCTGTGCAACGACAATGGGTGAACCCTCAAGCTGTCATCAAAGATCACAGGACAAGCAGCTAAATATCAGAAGCAGCAATCAAAAGTGTGCATATACATAAAAGCTTTTATTTCGGGGAAATTTACTTATAAAGTTGCTACTGGCATCCGAACAAATTCAATAATCAGAGATTCCTCATACGATCATACCCATCTCTAACTAACAGGTGGTGTAACTTGTAAGTTAACAATTGAGGAGGAGAAGAGAAGCAGGCAGTACCTTACAGGACAAGAGGTTAATGCAGCAGCCATAAGGCTGCTCCTCAACCTTAACCAGCAAAACAGGGCAAACTTCAAAATTGAAGAACTTGAACCTGTAGACATAACACCTGAACGTGTTGTCATCCACCCTCTCTATCCTCTCGGCATCCAGCACCGAGTACTGACTCGCCGGCAAGCTCATATACTCCGCTACAAAGTTGCCAACCAAAGCAAGAAAACCCTCAATCAGAACAAGCAAAACCCAGATCCCTGACACGAAGTGAAAATAACATACGCTTATCCTAACATTACTTAGAGGGCGCCCAAGTTGGCTGACGGAGATAGATTCCTTCCGCCGTGCCACGAACCGGGCTTTGGGAGCCGAATCCGCAGAAGCTCGCAGCGAAGCGCAAGTGGTGGGAGAGTAGTCATTGCTGTGGGAGAAAGAAGCGGAGCTGAGAGTGAAGAGGCTGTAGTCCTTCCCGGCCCCGGATCGGAGTATGCCGCCGGCTCCGGCGGGAGTGGCAGTCGAGCTGTAGTAGAGAGCCATTTGAAGAAGATAAGAACAACAGTCAAAAAAACACTGCAACAGAGCAGGTTGAAGATAGTATTAGATCCAGCATCGGAACTTTCTATTTTTCATTTTTAAATATCCTGCTCTGAGGAGGCGCATTGTAGACCCAGCCTGTATTTACTAATCTAACGTGCACCGAAAATGACCAGCGCGCCAATTCTCACCGCCAAACCAGCTTTTTGGCGGTAACTTGAAAGATCTCCTGCACATGAGAGAAAAGGAATTGAATCGGTGATCCAACTCTGCAAGTAACAGAAATGCCTTGCTTAGCCAAGCCAGCCAAGAGGGCTTTCTTCAATTCATTTGCTCCAAGTCAGTAGTCGATCACTAATAGTGCAGAATGAAAAACCAAAGGAGCAATACCCAGAAAGCACAAATCAGAGGATTCTATCCATTGACACCAGTTGCTGTTCGGAATTCTGCAGCAGCAGGACAAAGATGCATATCGCAACCATTCGATGAACTAAATTCTCGATCCAGGGAGTTAAACTCCACTCACTTCAACCAAACCAGCACATACATTCTTAACACCGGGAGTTTCAACTACTGTCTATTGATTTGGAGCAAGTTCAGCAACACGCAGCCAATGCCAACTTTGATAAACAGCAAGGTTGGACACGTTGTTGCTAGGGATGGCAAAAATATCCGTAACCGTGGATATCCGTCCGAATTCGGCCTAGTCGGGTAGGGTAAAACCCGAACCCGAAGGACATTTAGTGGGTATGGGTAAAACCCGAACCCGAATATTGCGGGTAATGGGTGGGCATGGATTTCTCACTATCCGACCCGAACCCGCCCGATTATACACATGCATATGTATTTTGTCTAGAAATAATCATTATTTTTCTCTAACATATTTCATATTTAGCATATAAATATAACATTTTCATGAAATTGTGTTGCTTTAGTTAATTTTCTTCATTCTAGTGAATTATTGTCGTACTTTTTCTCTTACTTAATATAAGAATACGTGTGAATGTTAACATATTGGTTGGAGTTATGAAGAGAAATTAATATCCATGGATAACCGTGGATACCCGAAACCCGAACGGGTATGGGCATGGTTTTAATTTTCTACCCGTTTCACATGTGGGTATGGGTATGGGTAAAACCCGAAGTACTTTGGGTAGGGTAACGGATATGCACTATCCGCCCCCGACCCGACCCATTGCCATCCCTACTTGTTGCTGAAAATGATCTTGAGAATAGCTCAATGAAGATATATAGATTCTGCTACTTAAATGTGTAGCATGACAAACAATTCATGAGAACGGAACCTTTACATTAGGATGGGTTCATAGGCAAACTCAAATACTGCATATCCAAACACAACACTATAGAAAGAGAAGCAAATCAAACAAACCCTCAAAAGATTTCACTGACACAGTGACACTAGGTGCTCTTCAGAATTCTGCAGCAGCTGGACAAAGATTCATGTAGCTGCAACAACAACTAGCAACCATTCGACGATCTACATTCTCGATCCAGGGAGTTTAACTCCACTCACATCAATCAAACAAGCTATACCATTGAATCGAATACATTCTTAATCCTGGGAGTTCGACTACTCATTTCGAGCAAGTTCAGTAACTCGCAGCCTATGCCAACTTCGATAAACAGCAGGGTTGGACACATTATTGCGGAAAATGATAATGAGGATAGCTCAAAGAAGACATACAGACTCTGCTACTTAATGTGTAGCATTGACAAACAATTCATGATAGCTCACAGGCAAACTAAAATACTGCATTTCCAAACACAAGAAACATATAGAAAGAGAAGCAAATGAAACAAACCAAAGACGAACAACCAGATGGAAATGCAGTCTTCCAAGCAAACCCAGTAATCAACTTACCGAGCTGTAATATCTCAGGACTATGAACACCACAAAATCGATATTCAGGAGCCTATGGTTTGAGAATGAAACCATGCGGCAACTGAAGAAGAAGGGAAGAAGGGCAATCAACAGGGCTAGGTCAGAACCTATTCAACATTCCAGATTTCAACTTGAGAAAGGAAAAAAAAATATATAAGGAGAATCAACAATATCCACCAAAGAAATCGATCATCAATATCCGCTTGCCATGAAAATTCAATAGACTACCACAGCACCGTAAAGAAAATTTACAATCCATCAGAACCCTAATCAGGCGTAACCATAAAATCCCCAATTCGACCGAGCATAAAACCTAACGAACCGCGAGAAAACAGATCTGGAGCACAACCCTAAACCCTAAGAGCTGGTAAACTTTGTGACAGCCTTGGTACCCTCCGACACCGCGTGCTTGGCAAGCTCGCCGGGGAGAACAAGCCGGACGGCGGTCTGGATCTCCCGCGAAGTGATCGTCGGCTTCTTGTTGTACCTAGCGAGCCTGGAACTCTCCTGAGCGAGCTTCTCGAAGATGTCGTTGATGAAGCTGTTCATGATCCCCATCGCCTTGCTCGAGATCCCGATGTCCGGGTGGACCTGCTTCAGGACCTTGAAGATGTAAATCTTGTACGTCTCCACGCTCTTCTTCGCCTTCTTCTTCTTCTTGTCGGCGGTGGCGCCGTCCTTGGGGAGCTTCTTCTCGGCGCGGGGCTTCTTCTCCGCCGGTGCCTTCTCGGCCGGCTTCTTCTCCGCTGGCTTCTTCTCTGCCGCCTTGGGCGCCATTGATGATCGCGAGCTGAATTCTAGAGAGGGAAAGGAGTAATTCTACTTTCAGGAAATTCTGATCTCAGTATTGACCTTGAGGCTTTGAGTGTTTGAAGTTTGCGACGAAGAGGCTTTGTTTATATAGAACTACTGGGGTGAAGGTGATTGGCTAGTTGGTGAGGCACGCGGATAGATGACGTGGACGGCTGGATTTGGGAAGAAGGTAATGAACGGTTCAGATATCTCGCGCTCCGGGTTCGTTTGATTTTTTTTTTTCCTTCCAATTTTTGGCTCTGGCGGGCTGTTTAAATTTTTTGGGGAAATTAAAAAATATAAATTCAGGCTTGTGTGAATGGGCTAAAAGCCCAAAACACAGTCCAGTCCAGTCCATCAAAGTACAGCCTGGTAAGCAAGCCCAAATCCCTGTACCGCGCCGGAGACTGGCTTCCTTCTTCCATCCTCCCTTGCCGTCCTGCTCTTTAGCTGGCGAACGTCTTCTCCATACAAATTGACGATTAACTCAAGAAGAAATTACTCTTCATCCGTTTTCCTTGCTAGATTGACGACTGTCCCCGTGCATCAGATTGATTTGGATCTGCTTTACCATTCCCCTGGCAGATTCATAAAAGGAGGAGCATTTTTCTGTAATGGAGAATTCTGAATCTGTTCAGCTAAGTGGAGAAATTGGTACTTTGTGGACTATTTTTCTTTGGGGTTTCCCATTTCTTTTACTCGATCGTCGCCTTTCAATTTGCTTAGTGTTGTTGGGGCAAAGCGTTCTTTGCTTACTGATTCGCTGCTTGAACACAATTAGTTTCTGGGATACTCGTCGAACCCTATAATCTGCAAGGAGTTTAGGACTGTGTGCAAGCTGAAGTTACGATCTTTTTGGTTATTCTATTGAATTGCATTGTTTGCGGGGTGAAGCACCGAGTTTTGGGAAGTGAAAAAAATGCGTTGACTTGAGTATTCTTTTGCAGTAAAAGATGGCGATAGTGAAATAGTTACTGAAAGTGCTGCATTTGTGCGTGGAGAGGCTCCTCAAGAGGGAGAGGGCCCTCCAAAAGTTGATTCCGAGGTGGAAGTTCTTCATGAGAAAGTCACCAAGCAGATCATCAAGGCAGGTCATGGGGAGAAACCATCCAAATACTCCACATGCTTCTGTAAGTACTGAAGCAGCTGTTGGTAAAAGCTATTAATCGGTAGTGTACTGTCACGTTCATTGCGATCTTAATTTGTGCTCTTAAGTTAAGGATATTGATACCACTGTCATGGATATGTGGTTGACAGTCAAATGGGGATGATATAGGGTTTTGATAATTTGTATGGAACGCGTACTGGCTGCGTTTGATGCAGTCTAACAATCACACTACTTCTTCTCTGTTCAATGGTTTTATTGATGCTGTTCACTGTGTAAGTTGTAGCCAGTATATGCTGGAGCTGTTTTGAATGTAGAGCTTTAACTAGATGATTGAATCATCTCCTGCTGAGTTTATTAGTTGGATGCTTTTTCTTATTACGTGTTTCATGTATGGGCCTCTCCAATGCCACTCTGGTGGCAGTTCCTTTGAGGAAGTAAAGTTCTGACTTAGTTAGCCTGGATTCCAGTGCACTATAAGGCATGGACTGAAAGCACGCAACATAAGTTTGATGATACAAGGCAGGAACAACGGCCACTTGAAATGGTTCTGGGGAAAGGTGTATGCCTACTTCCTATAGTTTTAATGTCACTTTATCTTTTATAGTATCTCATTTTCTTACAACTTACTCCTCTTTATGTAATAGAGAAGAAACAAATGACTGGTCTTGCGATTGGGGTTTCGAATATGAAGGCTGGTGAGCGTGCTCTGCTTCACGTGGGCTGGGAATTAGGTTATGGAGAAGAAGGGAGCTTTTCATTTCCAAACGTTCCTCCAAAGGCAGATGTAGTCTATGAGGTCGAGCTTATAGGTTTTGATGAAACCAAAGAAGTAAGTGATCTAATGATTTGTCAAATATCGTGGCAAAAAATCTCAGCATATCCATGCTCAAGATATAATACATTCCTTTCATATGGTGTCTATTAGCTAAATGATTTGATGCCATCTTACAGGGGAAAGCTCGTAGTGACATGACAGTTGAAGAGAGAATTGGAGCAGCAGACAGAAGAAAAATGGATGGAAATAATTTATACAAGGAAGAAAAACTTGAGGAGGCCATGCAACAATATGAAATGGTCAGAACATTACGTTCTTGATGTAAAAGTTTGTTGACGGAGCTTCTTTTGTTTGATGATATTGTTAACCAAGTAATGTGTTTGTTTCAGGCCATTGCATATTTAGGTGATGACTTCATGTTTCAACTGTTTGGCAAATTCAGAGACATGGCTTTGGCTGTTAAGAATCCATGTCACCTTAACACGGCAGCATGTTTGATAAAGCTAATGCGCTATGATGAGGCTATTGCACAATGCAGTATGGTAAGTATGCTTACAGCCGTCTCATTTCCTCTTCCTCTCCATTTATTGACAGACCTCTTAGAGCACTCGATCGTGCGTGAAAATTATTTCGATTCAATGTAACAGTAAGATTGGTTTGGTAACAGACCCAATCTAGCTGCAAGTCGCGGCTGAAGGATGAAATAGCATTGGCATAGTGACCCTGCGCTGGTTTCAAGTATCTTATGTAATTTTGGTCTGTACTGAACGGGGACTGATGAACATATTGATATTGTTGGACGTTGCAGGTGCTTGCTGAAGACGAAAACAATGTGAAAGCATTGTACAGAAGAGGCAAAGCCAAAGCTGAACTAGGGCAAACTGATGCTGCCCGAGAAGACTTTCAAAAGGCGCGTAAATATGCACCTGAAGACAAGGCTATTGCGAAGGAGCTGCGGCAACTTGCTGAGCAAGATAAAGCTTTGTATAAGAAGCAAAAGGAGATATACAAAGGCATTTTTGGACCACCACCAACTCCAAAGCCTAAGGAGCCTAGTAGTCTTCCCATCCGGTTTTGGCAATGGCTAATCTTCATATGGCACTCATTCATGGCTCTGATTCTCCAGCTATTCAGGCGCGAAAGGCTCAAAACCAACTAGTCTAAAGGCTCAAAGGGCTAGCCTGCAACCAAACAATGGGAATGTTGCCAAAGATGTTTAGTGCCTTTGATACTCTCGTATGGCTGCTAATGTACGTACTACGAGATTATACCGAAGAAATGTAGTACAATATTATGTGCCAAAATTGCAGTTTAATGTGGTTCTGGTTCAATCATTTTCTGCCGCTAAAAATAGCTACCGATTGGAAATACTGTGTATTTTCGATCAGACCGGTCAGTACAGTAGGGTTTCTTAAAGTATAGAACTCCAATCAATTGATGCACGGGGTAAAACTCGGCACTGATGCGTATTCTGAGTTAGGTGTGAGATTTTACTCGTTTTTTATATTGATAGGTTTGAGAGTATGAGTTTTGTCAAAACTCGATCCACTTTCCACCCGACTCACTCCCAAAAAAAATAAAACGATGTTGTTTTGCATCTAACCTTAACATTATTATAGATTGTCTGGGTATGTTATTAGTCTATAATATACATGGCAATATTCTTCTAGCAATATGGATAGTTTAAGAAACTAGATCCAACGTGACCCATTGTATTCCCTACTAAACAAGCTCCAAGCTCATACGCATCCACGAACAATGATACGTAGCATGGCTGCTACGTTTCTGAAGAGATCATCGTTTCAGTATCCGCAATGTTCATCACACAAACAATCCCCTCTTCATACCGCCCAAAACCTACAGATCTCTACCACTTCTTCTGTATATAAATACCATCCCATCATCTGACACGAAGACAGACAAAGAGAAGAAGCCTGCAGAAAGAGGAATTAATCAAAAATGGAGACCAGCAAGAGAAACTACAGGTGTCCAGCAGCAGGTGCGAAGAAGATGATGGCAATGGGATTGGTGGCAGCACTACTCTCACTGGCCGCCGTCGAGGCTGGTCAAGAAGGCGGAGGAATAAGGCCGAGATGTTGCACAGGATGTTACAGAGGATGTTTCTCCGACTGCATGACGAGGCAGGGCGACAACCTCAATACGATCGACCCTTTCATCTGCTCTGCGGAATGCTTCGTCCACTGCATCTTTAACTTGTACACCCCTCCTCTCAGCGCCCAAACCTTTTGCACCGCCGGCTGCGCGGTCTCTAAATGCTCCAAGTTCAGCTCCAACGGTCGCCCCAGTAAGGCCATTCTGCATATATATAACATATAATGTACTAATAACTGGTTCTTTTCCCACTTCTTAATTTCCACGTTCTTCTCTGTCTGCAGATACAGGCAAGGTTGAGAGCTGCGTGGATTCTTGCTCTCGCGGCTGCTCTAAAAACCATGATCAGTATGCCTAATTCATTCATCGCCAAATGCAGAATGGAAAACGGATCGATATTGTTGGAGGGTTCTTAGTTTATTACTTTATGTAGCTGTAAGTAGAATAAAAGTTGGTTTAATTTGGGGGTGGTTAGTGTTTGTAACAAAGAAACATAACATTATTGCAGATAGAGTAGTAACTACACATATCATGAAGGTATTTCATGAAATGTACGTCTTAATCATGTAGGTCATGTATCCATGAAAAGTTGAAGCAATAAGGGAAACAGAATGCAAATACTCCATACACTCTAATCGTGACTCGTGACTACTGCTGTTCCGGAAGCAAGTAAAATGAAGACATAAAATGACATGAAGTTTGTTGCCCCTATGACTGACTAGGTTGAAACTGAACCACCAAAATGGAGGGACTCTCCCTCCAGTATATAGGGTTTGTGCGACTCAGGGCAAACACATAACCATATCACAGGTAATACAAACAGACCACTGCATGCTCGGGGCAGGAGGGGAAGGAGGGATCGCTTTCAGTCGCCTAGGGCGAGTTCTCTGGTGTCTTCAGAACTGGCGCGGGGTTGTTGTCGTCCTTGTGTTGTGTGACAGCTGCACGGAAATCTTCAACGATAGAACCGTCCTTGAATTTCAGGGCAAAGGTTGAAAGTGCTTCCTCTTTGGCTTCCCCGATACTATTGATGCAAGCAAAAGTGATGCCTCGCTTTTCCATGTTCGCGAGCTTTATATCGGAGAATAGATTAGCATTCAAGATCAACCTCAGGTTACCCTTAGACCTCATCAGGAGCCTGGCTTTCTCTGTTCCACTGGTGGAGACATTCACCTTCACTTCTCCTTTCCCGCGCTCCTTCCAAGAGCCATCGAGGAACTCAAATAACACGGAATCTGCAGAGAATACTGCCCTTTCATTCTCTTCTCCGGTCTCCACTGGGACCTCCGGCATGGAGGGGAAGCTGCTTCCTTCGCTCTTGGGGGCAACAGAAGAAGAGCCTGAAGAGTTGAAGAGTGAAGAATTTCCATTTGTAGGGAGGCCAAACCCAAAAGACGGCTGGTCGCTTTTCTGCCCAAACAAGGAACCAGCACCACTGGCAAATGGAGAACCGTCCTTTGGGATTGATCCAAAGGAGAATGACGAGGAGCTGGAAAACCCTGTTCCAGCTAGGCCAGTGAAAGCGTTTTGGCTACTTGAAAGCTGCTGGAATGAACTCAGGGCAGTACCTTCACCACTCGGGTCTGCACTTTCACTGCTCTTATCCTTCTTTCCATCATCCTCTGCTTTACTATCCCCTGCTGCTTCCTTCCCGTCAACATCTTCAGCTTTATCAGTCCCAGTGACGTTCTTGCCTTTCTCTTGAGCTCCATCACCCCCTTCAGCCTTTGCATCCACCGACTTAATGGCTTCGCTGCCATTATCACTCTCAGTTTTATCTTCTAGCGGTTCCTGGGCCACTTCACCAACAGTATCAGTCGTAACCTTAATAACAGGGCTCTCCTTGTCACCTGCAGACTCGACCACTGACTCACTCGCACTGCTTTCTAATTGCTTCCCATTAGAAGCATCTTTCTCTTCCTTGGCTACATCACAAGCACCACTTTTGATGTCATTCTCATTAGAAGTTACTACCACAGTTGCTCCAGGCTGAAGGGCCGGACTTGGTTCACTTGGTGGAACCAAACGAATTCCAGCAAATGGATTAGATGAGGGGAGGATTGGGGCTGCAGTTGACTGACTGCGTCGAACTTTCACAATCCGTCTGGTGGCCAGAACCTCATCGCTGGCCTTCTGGAAAGTTCCAGTCTCCATTTCAGACAAATCTTCATCATCATCAAGGCCAGGGTCGTCCTTTGATATCTCCCTGCCTGCAGCTCTCTTCTTTGAAGATGGAAGGACATTCTCAGAATCCCCCATTCTTAAACCAAAACAACCGACTCTTTTTACTCTCAGATTCAGTCAAGAATCTGCAGGCAGAAAAAGAAGACCCATTTCTCAGTACACTATTACCACACCTTAGCAAAGGAGGGGGGGGGGAAACGACAATTTTCTCAACATGAGCTCAAAGACTGCTTTATTAAAGCATGAATTATCATCCAACCATGGAACCCAGAATATGCATATAAACTACCAAACTTCTACATGTTATCAACCCACTTCATAGGACAAGCGACATTGTATACCATTGATGCTAAGATAGCTTACAAACACCATTGAGCATCATAGAGAACTGAAGGATTCATCAGTGCGAACCGTCATTTGAAAGAACCACTTTGAATCGATTCAAGGTCAAAAGGAAATAAAACAGGTCACCAGGTTATGCATGAATCAAGCCGATAGCATTTCCTCAGTTAGAATGACAGAAAAGAAGATTCCTCATGAATGAACAACTGGTTCTTCACAAGAGGCCACTGAATAAACTCAGCCATTGAAAAACTGAAAGAAGCCCACGTGAAAATACGAACCAAGTTGCCGGTGCATTGGAAGGCAATAAATTTACCTTTGACAAACAAAAACCTAAGATAAAACAAACAAATCATACTCCATCATACTCCAAAGCCAAAAAAAAATAGATTCTTTTAATTCTAGTCAACAACCTTCTGATTTGAGTAGTAGTGATGCAATCAAAGGAAGAGGTGTGCCTCGTAACAGAGAGAGTGAAAGGAACCCTATCCACCGATTAGGGTTTCGAGGAGGGGTTCCGATTTCCAGGTGATTGAAGCAATAAATCAGCAACTGACCTCAGCCCGACAAAGGAACGAAAGCAAGCATTTTTACGCGTCCTGCGCCTTCTGATACTGTCGCCGATGAAGTAGGGAGAAGCGCGGCAAAGATCGATATAGCTCGTAAACGCCAATACGACTTAGAATATATATCCGAAGAAATGGGGAAAGGGTTCAGTTCTCTAGCTCGCCTTCAATGGCGAGAGTGATGGGAAGGAAGTGGAAGGAAGAAGGACGAGCGTGAGCCGCAGGCCGGAGTGGAGCCTCCGTTTGTGTTGGAAGAGGAAGCAGCGGTGGAGAAAGGAGACCGTCTAGAAGGTGCGCTTTTTCTTAGCGTAGGGTTTTGCTTGCGGGCATATCAGATGGCTAAGCCTGGGTGTGCGATGGTTCGGTCCGGTTCGGTCCGAAACCAGACCGTATCAAAATTCAATACAGTACGTGTAGAATTTATCCGAAAGTAAAGAAAATTTGAGAATCAGAACCAACGGAACATATATTTATGTTAACAAAGACCAGAGATGAGAACCTAATCTCATTATAGTTAATCCAGTTTGATTAGGTGCAAACATTGGTTTGGTCCGATTTGATTCTATAAAATATTAATTGAGAGCTAATTTTGTTTGCCCTGAAAATATAAATGTGTTTGCCTTGTAATGTTGGCAGTTTATTTGAGAATTGTGTTCGTCTGTGATTCAAGTTGAACTATATTTGATGAGTTAAAATCTAGATCTCAAGATCTATACAAAAATCGACACACTTTGATTATAATTTTGTTAGGTTCTTGAAATGTTGATGAACGTTAGGTTATTGAGTTGAAGCTGCATGATTATTCATTTGTATTTTTCAACATTTTTTGGCCTTTTTATTGCTAGGTCAATTTGATGCAACCATTTGGTTCTTTTGTCCGAATTTGTGTGGTTTTTGGGTTGGTCAGGGCAACCTCATTAATAGGTTAGATGATACGAGGTTTTACATGGTTTGGTTAACACAACTCCAACCATGGCCTACAAACTATTAGACTCAATAGCCAAAACTTGGAGTTTTATCACCACCCATATATGCATATTTCCTAGTGACAGAAGACTCCTCTTAGAACCTTCTTGATGGAACTTTTCTCTTTGTTAGCAAGGGACTAGGATACGCGTTTTTATCAAATGAGGGAGTGGGAGGAGAATAGGTGTTGGGCCACAGCTGAGCAGTGTTGGGCTCGGAAGCCCACAAGAGGCCCAAGGAAGAAGGCCCGTTGAGGGGCCCGGGAAGCAGGCATAGGGAACGGAGAAAGGAAGGCGGCCACTCTAGGATGGGACGGGCAGTAGGACGCCTGACACAAAGAGCCGTTGCTTGATAAGGGGCAAGATCTCCCCAAGATACCCACCTCGAACACAGCAGGACTGAGCATTAAATGCCCGCCGTAGGCGGTCTAGATAAAGCATGGCCGATCTAGGACGCCTGACAATGGCAATTAATGCCTGAAGCCCAGGCCAACTCACTATAAATACATTCATATATGCATTGATGGTAAACCGACTACTCTCTCTCTCTCTCTCTCTAAACATAAACTAAAACTCTTATTCCCTCTCTAACTTAAGCATCGGAGAGTGTCCTGGGTGACCGCCCACGGACCCTTGTTTTGCAGGAGCTTGGAGTCCCCCACCATCTGGAACAGACGCTTCGCTCGTTCCTCACAAACCCGCCTAGAACATTCTAGGCTTAAACAATTTGGCGCCCACCGTGGGGCGAGAGATAGCACTGAAGAAAGGATGGATGGGAGCTCCAACACCCCTGTCAAAGGCGTAGTAGAAAGGAGCAGCCACCGCGCCCCAGACGCGCAAGTGAGCGGAATCTGAGGTTTGGAAATGCCCACCGTGGAGGAGGAAATGGAGATGGAGGACCGCGTAAAGAGTCAGGGGCAGCAAATATCAAGCATGCAGGAGAGCTTGGGCCAAATCTTGGCCATGCTCAGGGAAAAAGACAGCGAGACGCCAGGAAGCTCAGGAAAGCGACCAAGCAAAGGAAAAGGAAAGGAAGGCGGTCCTGCCAGCCCTGCTCGGACAGAAGGCGGGGAATCCGATAAAGAAGAGGAAGCAGAAGAACTAGGTTTGGGATTTTTGGAGGAACATCTCAAACCCTCGTATGGCAAGGCTAAAGGTCCCACCATCCTCCAAAATCCGTTGGCTAAAAGCTTGTTCAAAACCCAAGTTCCCCCGAACTTCTCATCGCTCGGGCTTCCCGCATATAATGGAAGCTTGGATCCTGCCGACCATTTGAGCGCTTTCATGTTGAAGATGCAGCTCATCAACGCCACATACGCGGATCTGTGTAAGGCGTTCCCAGTCACATTCAGCTGCCAATGCAGGACTTGGTATACCTCTCTGCCAGAAGGGATAATCGAAAATTTTGAGCAGTTTGCGACCCTCTTCTCCTCGAAATTCGCATCCCAGAGAAGGAGAAAGTTGGCGGTATCGTCGCTGATCAACTGCAAGCAAGGAGGAGAGGAGTCGCTAACAGATTTCTACGATAGGTGGAACACTATAGCCTGCGAGGTGCAGGGGATCTCGCCAAGTGTGGCGGCGGGAAACCTACGCATGTCCACGCATAGTTGTGAACTACGGAGGGCGCTTATCAAGAAGGAACACACGCTGAAGGAGTGGCCCGACCTGGACCGCTTAGTAAGAAAGGCGATCTTACTGGAGGAAGCAATGATAATCGAGAACGCTACCAAGCGCACCCACTTAAGAGAGAAAGAGAAAAAGAAGGGAGGATCGCCTAAAAGGAGGGGGCGGTCCCCCGAAAGAAGAAATTATAAGCCACGATACATACCCCGTGACAACAGGAGGGAAGTCTTCACCACCAGCCGAGCGGAAAGTCGGGACCATAAAAGCGATGGCAATGCGCATCAGACGCATAGGAGGGAGGAAGACCGGAAGTGGTGCGACTGGCACCAGATGCCCACCCATGACACCATGGAGTGTCGAGAGTTTAAAGCAAGCTTGAAATACTTGGCGCCCGGAGACCTCAAGAGCCGCCTGGATACAAGGCCGCATCGTCATGATCAAAGGCATCACAAGGAGAGGTCGCCGAGTCCAAGAAAGAGATCACGCACGCCCAAGCGTGGGAGATCGAGATCGCAGAGGAGGGATCGGTCCCCTAGGCGTGACCTCCTTCCGCCGCCACCAAGGAGGTCACCTCCCCACCGGCAACCGCGCATAAACGAAGATGACGTTGAAGTCATAACCATCGCGGGCGGGCGCAAGAGGCCCCGAAGTGAGGGAGAACGTCTAGTTCAATGCTTAAATGTCAATAAAGGCGAGCAAGTGGATATCAGCTTCTCGCCCTCTGAGCTGGCTCCTGGTGAGAGCGCCGAAGATCCATTGGTGATCTCTCTGAGAACAAGGAAGTTTAAAGTCACAAGGGCACTGGTAGACAATGGCAGTTCAGCAGACATATTGTTCTACTCCACCCTCAAGAGCATGAAGATGGACGTCCAAGATCTCAAGCCCTCCGCTACAAGCTTAGTAGGCTTCTCGGGATCGAAGATCAGAGTGCTGGGTTTGATCACGTTACAGGTGACAATTGGAGAGGCAGATATAACGAAGACGCGCTCGATGGACTTTCACGTGGCAGACTGTCCGTCAGCGTATAATGCAATCCTGGGACGCGGATTCCTCTCACTATTTTCCGCGGTCCCTTCCACTTGTCACCAGATGCTCAAGTTCCCTATGGGCGGAAGAGTGGGGCAAGTCAAGGGAAATACTGAACAAGCCAAGGAATGTTACCAGGCGACAATAGAAAGCTTGGAGGTGGACTTAGTTGATACTCGAGGGGGGCACCCCCGCCCAGAAGCTGTGAAGGGAGACGCCGAAGTTGTGCTAGATAGTGAAGAACCAGAGAAGAAAGTGAGGATCTCATCTCACCTCACAGAAGAGAAGGCAAGGGAGCTGTTGGCGCTTCTCAAAGAATATAAAGACTTATTCGCATGGACCTCCGAGGACATGCCAGGCGTTTCAAGAGAACTCGCTGAGCATCACCTGGCGGTGAAGAGCAAGGCGAAGCCCGTCCAGCAGCGACGGAGAAACGCTTCCCTTGAGAAGCAAATGGCATTGGAAGAGGAAGTGAGGCGGTTACTCAAGGCCGGTTTCATAAGGGAGGTCAAGTATCCAACTTGGCTTTCAAATCCAGTCTTCTTCCGGAAGACCTCAGGACTTTGGCGAATGTGTATAGACTTCACAAACTTGAACGCGGCTTGTCCGAAAGACGCGTATCCTTTGCCAA